AATATGAGTAACTCCCTACCTTAAGGGAGTTGCGAAGTATTATTTATGTTGCACGAGGTGATCATTTAGGCTAAAAAACATAAGACCCCCCTCCCCCCCCCTTTTATTTATATACTTTTTATTTACACTTAGTCCTCTAACATAGACCAATGTAGTTGTATCCTTGTAATAATTAAGGATTTGTAACAATTCTCATGTGTTATGATAAGATTCCTCGACTTCTATACTTCCCTTTGTTTATTTGATCACCTAGTCTAATAATACAATCCACATAGTTTAAAATTCAGCCAAACCCCACAGTTGTGGACCTCGAGGAGTACCTAATACATTCTCTTTGAGGAAATTTTACCTCTTACCTGATCTTTGGTGATGCGGACTAGTTTAAACAAAGTTATTTGAAAATAGGTGCCCTAACGCATCTTAAAAATCGTTAGGTGATGACTCTTCTCTTTTAATTACCTTCCTTTGCAAGAGTTGTCACACGTCAAAATCCGCTTTCACGAGAAAATAGGGAATGAGAGAAATGAACTAGAAAGAGCTTGGTAAACTTGTCCAATCTCAATAAAGCCTCAGAAGACATGGCGTTCCTCAAAAGACGTGGTGGCCCTATCACCGTCCTGTGCCGCAATAACTGGCTAAACTGCTCAGATACTAGGGAGCCATCTGCTCCAGAGTGTGAGTAGCGGGAGCCTGTGCTCCTCCCCCAGCCTGAGAGACGGCGGGTGCTACCGGAAATGTACCAGCCTGGGCTACACTCTCCATAAGGCCCACCAAACGGACTAGAGTGTCCTGAAGCACTGGAGTGGCTATGAACCCCTGCAGGACCTGAGCTAGTCTAACAGGTACAGTCTGAGATGGATCCTACTCATCAAAATCCACATGAGGCTCCACTGCCGGTGCTGCTGCTCGAGCTCTAGGCTGAGCTCTGCCTCTGCCTCGGCCTCTGGCGCGACCTAGACCTTGACCCCTGCCACTCATAAGAGCTGCCACTGGGGGCTGCGACTGCTGTCCACCTGAAGATATAGTAGGTGTTCTCGCCATCTGTGAGAGAACAAGAATAGAAGAGATCAATTATCATTGATAGAATAAAATCGCACGACAGAGAAGAATAGAAGTGAAATTATTCCTAAACTCCATAGCCTCTGGAAGATAAGTACAAACGTCTCCGTACCAATCCTCTAGACTCTACTAAGCATGCTCGTGAGACCTAGGCAACCTAGTGCTCTGATACCAACTTGTCACAATCTGGAATTCTCACCTTCGGGACCGTGATGACGCCTAATATTTCACTTTCTAGGCAAGCCAACATTAAAGAAATTCTTAAACCAATTTCTTAAAACAGTTCAAATAAATAAACCAATTAAACTGAGATGAAACTAAAATGAAGTACGAAGTAGCATAATAACCAGCATATCTAATACAACCCGGATCTGGAGACACAAGTACACGAGCTTCTAGAGGTTCTATAAATAGAGTGTGAAATAAATACAATTGTTTCAAATGAAATGAACAGTAAATAAGGAAAGAGGAAGGGGACTTCAAGGTCTACGGACACCAGCAGATCTACCTCGAGTCTCCAAATATGCCAATCCGAGCTAATGCACCTCACGTACAGCTGAGACTAGTACCAAAATCTGCACAAGAAGTGCAGAGTATAGTATGAGTATAACCGAACTAATTTACTCCGTAAGTGTCGAGCCTAACCTCGACGAGGTAGTAAAGAGGCTATGACAGGACACCCACGTAATTAAACTTGTACAACGAAGATATACGTGCAACAAAACAACAAATAAAGATTAAACACGTACGATTGGGAGAAGACATGTGAAAGGGGGTATAAGATATGATAACTACAACAGGAAATGACAACATGAGACAGTCAAATAAGCCATCAACCAACTAAAACGGATAAACATAATGAATAAAGATGACACGACTTCACCCATCATGCTTGTACTCTCAACCTCACTATGAAATAATAATAATGGCACGACATCACCCTTCGTGCTTTTACTTTCAACCTCACTATGAAATAATAATAATGGCACGGCATCACCCTTCATGCTTTTATTTTTAACTCTCAATGAAATAATAATAATGGCACGACATCACCCTTCGTGCTTTAACTCTCCTTCTCACCATGTATTAATCAATAAATGAAGCAATAATCGGCGAGGCATCACCCTTCATACTTTAACACTCTCCCTTACCATGTAGCAATGAATATAAACATTTTGGAGATAGAATAAGCAAGAATAAACTTTACGTCAACAACGGTTCCAAAATACCGAACCTTAACTTCCAAAAATATCCAATCCTCACAAATAGTTCATAGATGCGGAAAGAGCGATCAATTAAGTAATAAACTAGTCTAAGCATGGATATCGTAATTAAAGAAGGCAATAAATTACAAGGAAACAAGTCTCACCCATATGCTTTAACCCAACAATAACGCATAGGTACACATCACCTCACATATACGCTGTATACACATATTTAAACACGTAGCAAATATGAAAACAAGTCCTAATCCCTCAAGTCAAGGTTAACCACAACACTTACCTAGCTCTGCAATCGACTCAAAGTCCAACCATGGCATTGCTTTTCGAACAAACCTCCGAACCAACTAGATCTAGCAAATTATTAACCAAACAATTCAAAATAAGCCTTAGGATCTACCCACAAATGAAAGAGGTTAAGTTTAGGTCATTATTGAAAAAGTCAACAAAAGTCAACCCCGGGCTAGCATGGTCAAAACATCAAAATTCGAACCAAAACCTGATTACCCATTCACCCCAAGCCCGATTATGTAATTTGTTTCGAAAATCGACTACAATTCGAGGTCTAAATTCCAATTTTACAAAAATCCCTAATTCTACCTAAATTCCCAATTTCTACCATAAAAATCCTAGATTTAAGGTTGAAATCTTATGAAATGTAGTGGGTAATTGAAAGGAAGTAGGTTAGAGTCACTTACCAATGAATTGAGGAAAAGATTCTATTGGGAAAATCGCCTCTAAGGTTTTTAGGGTTGAAACTTTGAAAGAATGAACCAAAATCCCGTCTAACTCAGCTTTTGACCAGGTGCACTAGGGTTCGCAATTGCGAACCCCACAAATGCGAAACAACCCATACCTCTGCTATCATCGCATTTGTGATGATTTGTTCGCAAATGCAAACTGGGCCTTACCGCAAAGGCAACAGAGTACTCGCAAATGCGAGAAACTAGTCCCCCAGTCCATGCTCACAAATGCGAGATATTCAACAGAAACCAGAAGCAAAAAGACATCAGCTATGATTCTAACTCCAACTTCACTCTGTAGCCTATCCGAAACTCACCCGAGCCCTAGGGGATCCAAACCAATCATGCACACAAGTCCAAAAATATCATACAAACTCGCTCACAAGATCAAAACTCTAAAATACCACCTAGAACTATGAATCAGACACCAAAAAGAATAAAATTTTCAATGAAACTTAAGAATTTTCATTTTAACAACCGGACGTCCGAATCACGTCAAACCAACTCCGTTTTATACCGAATTTTGGAGGCAAGTCATAAATAGAGTAATAAACCTATACCAAGCTCCGGAACCAGAGTCCGGACCCGGTAACAACAAAGTTAAACTTCAGTCAAATTCATAAGTTCTCTAGACCTTTAAACTTCAAATTTTTAGCAAATTGCAATAACTCGAGCTAGGGACCTCCGAATTCGATCTCGCGCATACGCCCAAGTCCCAAGCACGATACGGACCCACCGAGACCATCAAAATACTGACCCAAGTCCATTTGCTCAAAACGTTGAACGAAATCAACTCAAATAAATTTTTTTTGTTTTGGCACGATTTCACATTTTAATTAGTTTTTCGCATAAAAGCTTTTCGAAAAAGACTCGGACTGTGCATGCGAGTCGAGGAAGGCTAAAAGGAGATATTTGAGGTTTCGAAACACAGAATTTAGGGGTTAAAGCTCTAGAAAAACTATCGGGTCATCATATGAGTTCACTGTTGGCTTGCCTAACGGCGACGTTGGGTGTCATCACGACCTATAGTGGATTTTGGGTCGTGACAATACGTTTGCCGTTTTAACAATATGTTCCATGAACATCACCCAACAGAAATATGGTGAATCAAATGTATATAATCACAACAACAATTAATGGTTTTTCCCCTTGAGACAATAAACTCAGTCATTGCAATACAACCAACAATGTTTAAACTGGGCAAGAGCACTGTCCCTAAAATTTGCAGAAAATAAAACCAAATCATTATTAACTTAGTTTATGTTAGTTCATCCATTTAACCTGAGCCCAACTTAACCTAGTTAGTATAACAAGAGTAAATGCTCTTTTATTTGGCAACAGACTAGGTTGTATGCTAAGGATCCTTTGTTATCACATTTAGCAAATTGTCTTGTATTGCCTTTACCATGAACTAAGCTCTAATATGAAATATGTAGACGTCACATATCAAAATTCTCCAAAACAAAACGGACTAAATTTACCCATTACTTTATGATTTAAAAGTATTCTGAGGTTGGAGCTCCGTGAAGCCAATAGAAAAATAATTTTTTTCCCTAACAACAAGGTAATGTTAAGCCAAAAATTTAATCAGGAGGAAACTTGTTCAATTTCCTATAATACAAACACAAATTTGAAATTTACCAGAGCTCTACTGCTCTCGTGACTCGTGAAAGAAGAGGTTTAAAAACAGTCATGTTTTCTTCATGAATGGTCCAAATGGTCCAAAAATGTGCAAACCTACTCTGCTGCTTCTTATAATGGATTGTCAATAGACACGTTTTCTCCAATAAAAAAAAACACTTATGTTATCACTCTATTGTGACAAATTTTTGGAGTAACTTGTCTGTTCCTAAAAAGACAGCCTTAAGGGTTTTGCCAATAGACACGTTTTTAACATTCTAAGTTTAAAAAAAAACATTTATTCTAGATAAACCTACCTACTATAGTAGTACTATATATGGTGACAAATTTTGGAGTACAATAATGCTCTATAAATATGAGGACGAAGCAAAAGGGAGTGGAGCCAACTAAAAAGTTATAAAGAGCATCATATCATACATAGCAATAAAAGAAAGATGGTAAGTTATTTCTCGTTGATATATTCTTACTCTTCTTGTGTTTAACAACTCATCAAATGTTAAGGAACCCTAATATATTGTTCTACATATTGTATTAAATCAGCAAGGCCAGTGGATAGCGGCAAGAGACCTTACAATTACATGGGTGAACAATCCTCAGTTCTGGATATGGAAAACTGTTGATCCTAAGTTTGTCTCTCTATCTCTCTCTAAATTTCATTAAAAAGAGAAATATATATTTTAATTACTTACATCTCAACATTTTGTACAGTATTGAAGTGGCGTAGCTTCGTAGCGTAAATTGGCTTGACATTTATGGAAAGATAGACACAAAAAATCTTATTCAAACGACTAGTTATGCAGTATATTTTCAACAACTTAGGAGAGGATGGTGAAGTCGAAATGAGGTTGATGGAAATCAATAACGCCACTTCGAAATCTGGCATCATTGTTAAGGGCTTCGACATTCGTCCAAATTAATTGGATAGATCTCTAGCCTTTCTATTCTGCATGTTGTTGTGTTTGTCTTTTCAGATTTTCTAATAAAATCTCTCTCTATGATAAGAGTGAGCGTGTTGTAAGTGTATGTGATCTATCCTTTTTACTAGTTAGGTTGGTGTACGGTCTTGGATCAATAATAATCTGTAATCAACCCCATACTCATGCAATGTAATCTGTAAAAAAAATAATTAATAATAATCTGTAAAGCTCTATCCAGAAACTTCAATATATGCACCATCTACAATTCAATTTGCAGAAATTTACACCTTCAAAAACTTCTTACCAGGGACAGAGCTATAATCTGGAGGAGATGATCGACCGAGTCCAGTAATTGTGGTCCAAACTCTATATTGCTCTTAAAAACTTTATTGAATACGTACATATTATTAATTTAGAGTCTAATAACTTAAGATGACTAAAATTCCAAACTCATAAGTTTCAAATCATGGCTTAATCCCTGCGTTCTTACATTGTGAAAATGAGTTCCCAACTCAGTATATGGTAAACTGCACTTCGAATTTGGCCAAAATAAATAAATAAATTGAACACGATTTTTCTTATTCAACGGCCCTTGCAATTTTCTTAGCTTTTCCTTTGGTTACAGTTGATCTTTAACTAGATAACTGGATAATTTGTTGTCGTAGCTTAAAGAAGCGTGAAGAGTTCGTATCTTCTGAACCATATACTACTTATACAATAATTTTCCTTCGCAATTCCGTTTGGTAATCAATTAACGGTTTGCATTCTCAATATTTCATCAAAAAGAAAAAAACATATTAGGTTGTTTCTAGTGGGCCTACAAAAATTTTAGGGGATTCGTACCGATTTCATAAAAATTGCATGAACACTAGCACACGAAAAATTTGAAATCAACCTAAATTCCTATGTTATGGCCCTAAAATGCCAAAAACAAATGAGAAACAGTCATTGCGAAGCAATTACTATTGTTCAATATATTATTTCTGATATGCCCGTAAACGTTTAGGCAATTCGGAGCTATTCCTGCGCTCTTACATTATGAAAATCAGTTCACAACTCATATGAAGTAAATTGCACTTCGAATTTGACCAAAATAAATAAATAAACTGAACCATATTTTTAAATTGAATTTCTCTTTTATGGACCTAAAATGCCAAAAACTGGGGAACGGTCATGGCGAAGCGATAACTATTTTTTATGAGGTCGTTTCTGATAGGCACAAAAAACTTTAGGCGATATGGAGCTCGTCGCCCATATTCATGAGGATGGCGTGGAAATTAGCACACAAAAAATTGGAACGGTCATGGAAAATCATGGCTATTGTTTAATAGATCAATTTTAATGGACCCCAAAAATTTTTAGGCGATTCAGAGCCCGTCACCTGAATTCATGAAGATGGCGTAAACATTATCACACGAAAAATTGGAAATCGTCATGGATTCCTTTTTATGGCCCTAAAGTGCCAAAAAAACGAGGAAAGATCATAGATAAGTGATAATTATTGTTCATTAAGTCATTTTTGATAAGCCCACAAAAGTTTAGGCGGTTCCGAGCCCGTCGCCCGAATTTATGAAGATGTCGTGGACATTAGCACACGAAACATTGAAAATCGTGATGGATTCCTATTTTGTGGCCCTAAAATACAAATAAATAAGGAACTGATTGTTCATTAGGTCGTTTTTATGAGCCCACAAAATTTCAAGCGATTCGGAACATGTCGCCCAGATTCATGAAAAATTGTAAACACTAGCACACGAAAATCAGAAATCATCCTGAATTCCTGTTTTATGGCCCTAAAACGGAAAAAACGAAAAATAGTCATAGAGAAGCAATGAGAATTGTTTATTAGGTCGTTTCTGATGGTCCCACATAATTTTAGGCGGTTCGGGAACGGTCACCTGAATTTAGGAAGATGGCGTGGGCATTAGCACACGAAAAATCAGAAATCGTGTCGAATTCCTAATTTATGATCCTAAAACGCCAAAAAATGAGTAAAAATATAGAGAAGCAATGATTATTGCTCAATAGGTCGTTTCTGATGGGACCACAAAATTAGGGTAGTGTCACGACCCCAATTTCCCTCTGTGGGATATCGTGATGACACCTAGTCTTTAATATTAGGTAAGCCTAACACTTACTGAATTAATGGCAAAATTCAACCAACAACTATTAAATATAAAACAGAAATTTCTATACAAAACAAAAAATCATAAAACCGGTAGTACAAGTCATAAGCTCTACTGAGTTCGATAAAAAATCTCTAAGTATAAATATTCCGGAATAGAAATAAACTGTACAAAAATAACTTCCGAAGGTGACTCTGAGGCCTGTGAATGCGACGACAGGTGTACCTTGAATTCTCAACAGCACTTTTTGATCCGCTATCTAACAACCAACAGACTCCGAAGCACCTAAATCTGTACAAAAATGTGCGTAAGTATAGAATGAGTATACCGCGGTCGGTACCCAGTGAGTATCAAGACAAACCTTGGTGGAGTAGTTACGAGGTACAAGTCAAGACACTCATTAGACAAAATAACATATGCAGTATAAAATTATAAAACTAATAACGGAAAGCGAAAATGAGTAAATGTCAATAAGAACCAATAAGTGATATAATGAGTAAAGCAATAAGAACACCATGAAGTATCATTAAAACCAAATATGGAAACACAAAGGACAATCAATTAATCAAGCCGTTCGAACACAAGTTTCACAACGAAATCACTCTGTGCTACTTCATCTCATAGTCACAAGTCATAGGTCTCAACCCACCATTATATACTCACGGCACCTCATGCCCACATCTCGCATCATAATAGCACGGACAACTAACGTGCCAAAATCTCAATCCGCCCGGCATGATGATAAATTCACATTCACAATCCGCCCGACATGGTCACAGGCTCACAATTCGCGCGATATGATTTCAGGCTAACAAATCACAATCCACCTGGCATGGGCAAAGGCTCAATATCAACATGAAAACAGATAATACAAGAACACATGAGAATGAGTAATAAATGTCAAGTTTCATACTCCTAAGCTAGTATAAGTGGCATACTATGGTGTATGCTTGTGTGAGTGCACTAGTGTAGTCCAAGTCATCAAGTAATATCAAAGACATCGAATATCTTATCAAAACAACAAAGCAAGTCATGCGAGGTGTATGACAAATACAAGGAAAAGTACACCATCACACGAAAATCACCAAACACAATGTCTCCAACTATCACACATCATCTCTGACAATGCCACCCTCATCTCTCTTATAACCACACGTATTACTCCGTATAATAACCACCTTTATCTCTCATATATCTACCCATATCACTCTGTATAATAGCCACCCATATCATCGCTAGGACAATAATAAAATAGCCAGCCGTATCACTTCATATTTTCAACAACAGTGAGATGCTACCCTTATACTCTGCATAACAACAACCAAACCACACAACAATTCACATGTGCTATCATCACAACAACACAACATATCAACTCGTATCACAAGTGCCCGTAGACCACAACCTTTCCAAAGATTCAACGATATCAATATTTTTACTGCAAATAGCTCGCGGCTCAGCACAACGTATATAGAGTCTCAATAAAAACATAATGAACAGAAAAGTAACTTAACAACCCATACAACTTCAATTAGAATAGATTAATGAATCTCGATAACTTCAATTCTAATTAATTATTTAAGGATAACCTTGATAGTGAATGTACTTCCATGAAATGGCAAACTTCAGACTATGAATTAGGCTAACAATTTAGGAGATAGAATGAACTAGTACTACGTCTAAATACATTAGAACAACCCATTAATAAAGGATATCATGTGATGACAATTTCAATTTAGAGTAGCTCCACAATAAAAGAAATCTCATAATGACACAAAGTGATAACATCTCCAAATAAAGCATATAAGAGCAAACTCGGCAAGTAAAAAATGTGACACGTAACGACAACTTCCAATAAAGCATATGATAGTAGACATGACGAATAAAAGATATAACATGTGCTAACAATTCAAAATAAGTACATAAAAGATGCTTAGGAATCTAGACTGGTCAATTTCCACATATAGGCCCGAGTACGTACTCGTCACCTCGCGTACACGGATTTCACATGACACAAATAGCACAAACGATTTAAGTCCTAAGGGGTAATTCCTCCAGATAAAGTTAGGTAAGATACTTACCTCAAATAAGCTAGACCGATACTCTAAAATGACCTTCTTGTATGAAACAATCTCTAGACGGATCAAATCTAGCCAAAATAAATTAATATCATAAATAAAAACCATAAGAAATAATTCTAGATAATAAAGCTTTGATATTTAATGAAAACTAAAACGTCTACCCAAAAGGCCCGCACCTCGGAACATGATAAAATTCATTAAATCCTTACACCCATTCCGATACGAGTCCAACCATACCAAATTTATCCAATTCCAATATCAATTCATCCTTCAACTCATCATTTTATATTTTTGAAAGTTTTCACAAAAATTCCCATTTTTCTCCAATTCAAATTACTAATTTAATGATAAAAATAATTATGGAATCATGAAATATAATCAATTCCGGGTAAAGAACACTTAATCCAATCCAACACGTGAATAACCCCTCAAAAATCGCTCAAATCCGAGCTCTCTAACTCAAAAAGTGATAAAATAACAAAAGCCCTCGAAATAGAGTTCTTATAGTATGCCCTAGTGATTCCTCTTACTTGATCGCGGAATAACCCTCGCGATCAAGAAGAAATAAATGCTGCCCGGAAAAAATAAAGCTTCGCATTTGTGGCACACACCTCGCGAACGTGATGAATAATGACAACAGACTACACAAATGCACATAGAGACACGCGAAGGCAATGAGTAAAACACCACTAGCTCCCAGCTCCACTACGCGAACGAGCAGAGACGAGTGCGAACGCAGAAAAATGACTGCATACGCTTCACGAATGTATGACCATCATCGCGTCCGCGATGAACAAATCACTGATTTCCCAAAAACATTTCGCAATCGCGAAGAACAACAGGCACACAAGAAACCAGCAACTCTAAAGCATGAAGAAATGGCCTGTAGCCCATCCG